TACAGTCTTTTACCGTTAAAATTACAATAATTTCCAAGTCCAACACAAAATCTGAATGAAAAACATGCTTTATTTTAGTCAGAGAGTATGAGTCATGGAGGCCATTTCATAGGCTTCCTGCAACGCAGAAGCGGTGACTCACATATTAGCCGCTCTTGTTTGTTGCACTCTTCAGTCAGTATCTCTCCAGCTTACTCATGGTTTTGTTAAATGTGTATCAGTATAAGTGCTGAAATAATGTCTGTAGTGGCTGTGTGATTGAAAGCGATAGTTCACCCAAAAATGATAATTCTGTCATCATTTGTTTTTCTTTCAAACCTGTATGAGTTTCTTTCTTCTGTTGACCACAAAATAAGATATCTTGAATGTTGGTAACCAGACAGTTGAAGGCACCCATTGACTTTTATAGTATTTTTTTCCTACTACGGAAGTCAGTGGGTGCTGTCAACAGTCTGCACAGAAGAGAAGAAATTGTTGAATAAAGTCATTGTTTTTGCACACAAAAAGAATTGTCGCTTCATAACATTAAGGTTGAACCACCATTTTAACAATGTCTTTACTACCTTTCGGGGCCTTGAAAATAGCAATGACATTGCTGCCTATGGCTGGTTCAGAAACCTCTCGGATTTCATCAAAAATAGCTTAATTTGTGTTCCGAAGATGAACGGAGGTCTTACGGGTTTGAAACGACATGAGGGCGAGTAATTAATGACATTTTTCAAATGGGTGAAGTCTTTTGGCCATAATACTTTTCATTCAGATTTGGCAATTATTGTAATTTTAACGGTAAAAGTAAAAATGCTCTAATAAAAACCTTTCAATTGGTTAACGGTGAGTTCCCTTACTGTATATGGTGAAAAACTGTAATAGCCTACATCTAATGAGACATTTTATGTAATTTTTCTTAAAAATTAAGAACAATTCAACTTGTAATAAAATTTATAATAGAGTGGTGCAGGGATGACATCAAAACCGTAAGAGTAATTCACCACTGGTTCCCTCGAGATTAGTAAAATAAAGCCTGTGGTAAATATGACGATAAACTTGACGATACTTAAGACGTTTTGTTCTACAACATAAAATGCACACATTCTTCTTATCTTATATTGGAAACATGCGATTTTTAAATAAAAAAATAAAAAAACTGCTTCAAAATTTGTTGTAAAGCAAAACATTTAAGGTATCGTCAAGTTTTGTTTACCACAAACCTTATTTTACTCATAAATTGAAAGCCCCATTAATAAAACCCCATAGGAAAATCTCGAGGGAACCAGTGGCGAATTAGTCTTCTGGAATTTGACATTATCGCTGCCCCACTTTACAGTATGTATGTACATTACGGTTTTATGTAACATTTCATGTTGTTAAAATGAATGTTTATTGCATTATTTTAGTGTTGTTACCATGATGTTTTGTATTTTTATGACACCTTCTATATATTAGTATTTCTGCCATGACAACTCTCGGAGTGTTTGGCACAGTAATGGATATGATAATGTTGATATGTTTGGTTTTGAAAAAATAGATCTGCTACACTACTGCTGTTATTGCTGCTGCAGAGCAATACAAGTAAGACATGCTGCTGCTGTACAATATAGCATACATGAATTACCCGTAGCAGATCTATACAGGTGGAGCTGGGGAAGGTGGAGGGTTTCTGAAAGCGCGCTGCAACTGCTACAGCAAATGCTGACCAAGTATTTGAAGGTTGAGCAGCGAGCTCATTGGCTACTGATACAGCAGGAACCAATCAGCTGTGCCCGGAGAATGATGTGATTGCGTTAAGGACCTATCAGCCTGCGCCATCTAGAGTTTCATGACAGAACTTTGTATGTACTTCAGCTTGTGTAAAACTACTTGTGATTAACTTTGATTAACCTAATCATGTGGCTTTCTCTTTACCATCTGTGTTTTAAAAATGGTTGTCAGTATTTTAAAAACTGATTTTAATAATTTGGTTAATTAACACTTGCAGGTAATCAAGTATATATATATCTATATATATATAAAATACTGTAAATTTAAGTCTGTAAAACTTAAAATGTTGCTACTACATTTTCTACAGGTAAGTTCTGGCAATCATGGCTACTAATTTTTTTTTTACTGTAAATTTTCCTAAAAAAAAAATCTTAGAATGTAAGATTTAGATTAATGTACAGATTTGGACTGGGAGTGACAGACCATTGCACACGTCCATTACCCCTGAGACTGACCACAATTTTTCATTAAAAACAGTATTTTAAGGCAAATCTGGTGTACTTTCATTTTCATACAATTTTACTGAATAACAGATCTCTCTGAATTAAAAAAACAAAACTCACTCACAAATTCAGGGTTTCCGTAAATAATTTTATTTGATTCATCTTTGACAGCCAAGAATGACAAGATCACAGTTTGTCTACATTGCTAAAACCCGAGTGCTAATGTACAAAAATAAAAACTAAAGAAAGAAAATACTGGGTGCTCACCCTCTAATATTGAAATACTTTTCTATGAAATTGTATTTGAAAAATCTTTCAAAATGAGCTTTATAAAACTGTTACCTTCTGAGAGGTAAAATTGAACAAACACAGACACAAACAGTCTGCTGGGTTAAGAAAGGACCGATCATAGATTGTAACCCTTACACATCGTCAACCTTGGACCGATCTACTCTGACAGAATAGTGAAAAGCATGAACATTATGAGAAGAAACTACTTTGTGTAGATGAACCCAAGACATGATGCATTTTTAACTCCCATAACTTTCAGTTCAAGTGGACTATACTCATGACACGGAAGTATAACAATAAATACAAGGAAAAAAAGAATATAAGCTTTTCATTGCATTAGTAGTGCTTATTTGGCTAAATAAAATGGAATGCATGGACAGTTTCATTCAAAAGAGGTAAAATACAATAAAGACAATAAATAATTCAAATAAATAGTGTCCTCTGTTGCTTGTCAAGTTTGGACCTGAGAGGTAAAGACAGAAGTGACACACAGGAACCCAAAAGCACAACACAGCGCAAGTACATGACAATACGCGGGCTCTGTTTGCCCTAGTTTAACACTCCAGAAGATACATTTTGAAATGATCCTGTGTTACAAAGGACTATTTTATTTGCAGTTGGTTGCTTCACTGAAAATCCAATGAACTTTGGAGATGGACAGTCGTGTATAGGGAAAGAAAATGTCAACTACATCTCAATTTCATGGTACTACAGTGTTAGAAATCAAGGCGATGTCTTATACAATACTTTATGGCCCATTTAACGCCTGCTTTGTTTTTCAGTAAGGCAATATTTCCACTAAGAGCCCCACCCAATGTTTGACTCATAGGATTTGGGTTGTGCTTTGCGATAATTTCAGGTGAATGGTTTAAATCACTCGCATGGCACTTTTTGTAAGGGGCCAAGTGTGCTCACCAATGCAATTATGCTTAAATCATGCATGAGTGGACTACAATGTTACAAAACAAACAAACAAAACCACCTCAAAAGACTTTCACTCTCAAAAGTTCATTTAAATGCTACAACTGGCCATAGACTGACTCGTAGGCACAATTAAAGGCTCTTCTAGAAGGACCTAGTCACTCTTTGTAGGTATGTGACGTGTCTCAAAGCATACAGATCCCTCAGGTGTGCTATTATGGAAGAAAATAATTAAGGCTAATTTGATAAACAGTGGATTATCGGCAGGTGTGTCGAGCCATGTTAAACAGTGAGGAGATACAACAGCAAACCAAGCAGTGTGAAATTGATATGGTAAAGGAATGACCTACAATCATTTTAATCTCAAGATTTCTCTCAGAGCAGGCACGCTGTTTTTCATTCAGTTAACCACATCTTAAAGCTAAAATATATATTCTGGTAAAACACCAACACGTGCTAAAAACATTTGGAATCTTTTGGCTTTAAGGGGAAATTTAGATCAATAAAAAGAACACCCCATCCTTTACCAATGCACCCAAGAAAATCACTTTCTGTTCTTATTCCGTGTCCTAACCAGGTGCGAAGAGATAAAATACTACATTTTGTCGATAGCATGGTATCTTTTTCTGTGCCAGTCGCCTAGTCCACACTCAAAATTCACTAGACTGAAGTACTGCTCAAATATAATCATGCATACTACCGTAAACATCAACCGTGGATGAGGAGAAACTGGTTGTGGAAGTTAGAATCATCACATATTCTATGACAAAGCGAGAGAGTGAAAGAGCAAGACTGTTCCGGGAACTGTTCTGATTGGCTGAGTTTTGTGATTGATTGTGTTGCATCATGCCCCATTTTCAGTTCTGCCAAAAATAAGAATTCTGTCATGATTTACTCCAAACACTAAAGAGTTGGTTTTCTTTCTTCTGCGCTATTTTTTCAAGTGAAATGTTTTACAATTTTTGTCCATATTATGAAATTAAATGGGATCCAAAGCTTTCAACGAGTTTCTATGAGCTTGGCACAACACGAGGGTGAGTAAATGATGAAAGAATTTTCAATTTTAGGTGAACTATCCCTTAAATTGCTTGGCGTTGAAATCTTAATGTGTCGCACCATGTTAGGACAAGTCCAAGGGGTTCAAAAATAAAACTTAAATGAAACGCTTGCAAGATCTTAGGTACAGGAAGAGAATTCAAAGCTAAATCTTGTAGGTTTTAAAGAGTATTATAAATATTAAATCATTGTACCGACAAGGATCTACATCTCAGAAAGTGCTGACAGGCTGAATCCCACTCTATGTACCTAGAATTTCCTACCTAGAACTACATCATTTTTTCTTAATAGTTACATAGACAAACCAGAGGATTGACAAAGTGTCAGTTTGAGGCAACAAGTAGTAAACAACTCTGAGAGGATTGTAAAACACACAAAACAATTGTAGACACAATCTTTCAAATACTATGCTCAGTTCACACGGAAGCTGTTCCTCAGGGGTTACAAATGTATACTGTACAAAGTATAAAACTTCTGTCAGACCAACTTAACCCTAAATAAGATCTTTCCTTGTTTTTTCTTAATGTTGCATCCATGCAGGAGGTGTACACAACTTATCGTGCTATCCGTACTGTGCATGCTTTCAGTACCATGTGTTCATTGGATTTAATATTACTCTTCCAAGCAGTTGGAGTTGGGAACCAAATGCTAACTTACCTATCGAATCTAATCAAGGTACTCGCTGTAAATTAGGACTAAGGCAACAATGTTCCATATTACAGAACAGGAATCATGCAGATTAAAATGCTCATGGCCACTGCTGTAGACACAAAACTGCACCATCAGGCCATGTACAGTAGTGTCAGCTACAATTTCAGGTAATCAGCAGTGGAGGCCTGACATACACTCATCTAGAACGACTTTTTTAGAAAGATGCGAATGAAACGGGTGCTAGACTTAAACACATGCTCATACGAGTTGATGAATACAACTATCCAAATAACAAACTGTCACGAATAGAACGCAAAACTACACTTTGTATTAATTCTGTTCGGACACATAAACATATTGTATTCTAACTGAGGTCTCGAATTTGGTCTCTCTCTTAATAGAAGATGCCTTGAAATATAGCAGCGTTTAATGACAAAGTGCAGAACCAATTATTGGGTTTTGTCATTCCTTTTTCCTAATCTACAATTGCACTTACCATCACTTAGTAGCTAATAATACGCCAATACAGACGTTTAATACACACTGGAGCGGAGGATTTTTGGATACACTACAATAAAATCTCTGGTAAAGCTACAGGCTACCTCTAAATTGGTTAAGTGCTTTTCAATATTGGCAATAAATAATCAAAGGCCTCTAATTATCAATACAAGCTCAAATAAATTCACACTGTTGTGTTTCTCTCTGGTAAATTTATCCTGAATAGTCCTAACTGTGCTAATACAGTAACAGTGAGTCTTTCCTCTCCAATATGGGGATTCGTTAATTGGAAACTTTACGTTAACTGTAACGCATACTTAATTAGGCAAGCGTAAACTGCCATCTAACAAACTCACCTAATTAAGTAAGAATGTTCACTTTCTATAACTCTCTCTCTTCGTCTTTGTAATACATTTTATTTATTCGCCTTTTTACATGCTCCACCCTCTCTGTTCTGCAGGTACTTATCTAGCTCCGCCTCTCGCTTCACGGCTTCTGGGTTGACTTTTGGTGCACCAGGAAAACATACCAGCACCACACTCATGTTGTCTCGACTACCCTGTTGATAAACAAATAATCACAGAAGGAACGTTTAAGTTAGATCAATGACTCTAAAAATGGCATAACCAAGTAATAACATATTTTCCTTACACTTTGAATACACAGAAGTATACACATTTCATATATATAAATAGGGCTTGACATTAACTTCTTGCTTATCAGCCACTGTGGCTAGTGGTTTTCCAAAGTTACTAGCCACTCACCATTTTCACTGGCCACAATTTTGACATCGATACCATGCGGGTAAAAACTGATATTTTTAATATTGTCTCTAGGGCTGGGTATCATTCAAAAATGTATATCGATACCTTGACTTCGATACCGGTTCCTGAATGATACTTTTTTGTGTAATCTTGTTAAAGAAAAAAAAAAGACCTAAAAAAGCTTTTTTTTTTTTTTTACAGACTCAAAGACTCATATAGGTTGCCTCATATAAAGCTTAAAGCTTGCCGCGAAGCAGGCCCGGATTGGCTAATCGGGAGCACCGGGAGAATTTATTTCTTGTTTGTAATGGTTTGTTTTATTGGCCAGGAGGGCCGGTGTTTTATTGTCATGGCACTGGGTTGAATGCTTTACATAGGCTCCAGTCACAGCTTTCTGAGTGTATATTTTTCAGAGTGTATAATGAACGTTGTGAAATAATTGTCTAATATTAACTCTAATTTCGCGCTGCAATGATTTGCATATCGCGAGGATAACCGACCTCATAATCTGAGCTGCTTCAGTATTAAAACACCGCTCGTCGGCAATGGCAAAATGTTTGAGATCAAAGCAAGCGGGATTTATGTTCACACACAGAAGCGCGAGCCGCGGCCGCGCGCGAATACCAACGCGACGTTTCACGAGATAAGATGCAAGTGGCTAAACTACGTAAACAGCTGTTTTAATTACGAAATAAGTTTTAAACGACCGAAAGAAATAATCAGTTTGTAAAGACTGTATCAATCAAAACTCAGCTTCGGGAAGGGGAGATTTACAGGTAACCTAAAGATAAAGAGACTGAGAAAAGAAGAATGAGAGAAGATGGAGATGAGAAATGAGAGCAGAGGAATAGCCTATTGCATACTGTGCCCAGATTGAGAATAACTTTATTACAATAGATTCCTATTTAACACAGACATACATATGTTCTTTGCCAATGAATGATGATCATCAGTGTAAAAATAAGATCAATTTAACAACGCAAGCACCTATATAATATATTGCCATTGTTATTGTATACATATATATATGTGTATACCTCGAATGTGTTTATATTTCCCCAGTATCAGCACTGGGACTTTTCACTGTTTGTATTACTTCACTTGTCTGGGTGGGCATATGCCCCCGAACCCCCAAGATCACTTTTCGGACCTCTGTATTTATAAAACCTTGTATACGGCTATTGCACTGAATAGAAATTTATATATTTTTAAAATACAATGAATAACAAGGCTGTACAGAACACTGCACTATTGCAGACTTATATGCTGAGGTTTCAATTACATTATTTTAATATAGTCAGACGGGAACTAAAGTGGGCCGGTCTAAGGCATGAAACTCCAGGGCTGAAAATGAGTCCCACTCCAGCCCTGCCGCGAAGCAATGGCAAAAGTAGCCTAATGATTATGAATGTGTCGGGAAAAAATAGCAACAAGACATTTTAATTGTTTATTAATAAACTAGTGTTTTCTGAGACAGTGTTGGCTGCAAAGATGAAGTTGATGTTGCCGACTCGTCATCTCTACAGTATAGTGAACACGCGCACGCTCCTAAAGAGAAAAAAAGCATGCCACTTTCATTTAGATTACATAATCAGAGAGTATTTGTTTTCGATTCGAATTGGTTCATTTAAAAGTAGACATTTCAAGCTTTCTGTATGCCTATTTCTCATGTATGTGAGGCAATTAGCCTATACGCTGAGTTTCGGTTTATTTATGTGATGCGCTCCAGTTCTTCTTGCAGTCGAAGACAGATCAACTTTCTGCTCTAAAGTTTATTCCGTGAACTGTTAAGTGCTCTATCAGATTTGTGGTGTTACCGGTCTTGGCAGCAATCATCTTGTCGCAAATATTGCATTGCGCGCTGTTGGCATCGAGCCTGGTGAAATGTAGCCACACTTTTGATCTTTTCCACACCTTTTACATATACGGGGGTTGGGACGCTTACACACTACAGCCTCACGTGTGAGCCATGTCACTGGGTGTAACCGGCGTAAACTAGTGTTTTTCCTTGATGTCTCGCCACAGCCAATCATGCTTCATGCTTATTGGTTCACTGACGTTGACGAGATTAACCCCTTAAAGGGATACTCCACCCAAAAATGAAAACAACTGTTTGGTTCCAATCGTTCTTCAAAATATCTTCCTTTGAGTTCAGCAGAAGAAAGAAACTCATACAGGTTTGCAACAACTTGAGGGTGAGTAAAAGATGACAGAATTTTCATTTTTGGGTGGAGTATCCCTTTAAGTATCGAAATTTGGTACCAAATGACAAGACATTTTTTTCGGTGCCTTAAAAAGTATGGAACTCGATACCCAGCCCTAATTATGCATCTCATTATTTAGCAGCAGGTATACTAAGACCTTTACCCCCACCACCACTTTAAGACCTGACGCATCGATCCATTATACTGTTACACATGCATTTTCTTTCTCAACCGTTTATGTTAACTTAAAACATAACTGACTGCGTTTACATCACTACTCGCCAAGACCGACATTTTGACATTATTTTGTGTGTATCTGACTGTTTAAGTGCATTATAAGCTGCGAAAAAGAACTGAATTTAGCTATATGTGCAGTGAGTGAGGGGAGGCGGATTTGTGTGTCAACTCGCTGTCGGAGAGATCATGAGAGTTTCAGATATTTCAGCATCGATAATATGTATAGAATAGATATATCGATGTTTTTGACAACACTGCATTTCACTTAGTTTAATTCAGATGCTTTTTTTAAAAAGACTACAATTGAAAAACGTATATATTATATATCAAATTCAACCCGCCAAAGTGGCTAGTAAGAGTGACTGTGTTATACACCACTGCTGAAAACCACGCGCATTTTGGTGGGTTGGCGGGTGTTAATGTCAAGCCATATAGTTTTTTTTTTGGGGGGGGGGGGTCACGGTAAACAGTATTTGTACAAAAATAACATGAATTATTAATAAATAATAATTAATGTAAAAATGACCCATTAGCATCCAACTCACAATGTTTATAACTGACCTTACCTTGTACAAACAGGTGTCCACAATCTCATTACACACTCTCTCCAGGTCGTCGGTCACTTCCAAGCGTGAGCGCACAAAATCACACAGTTCTTCGTTGGCCATGACGTCCCATATCCCATCGCAAGCCAGCACCACAAATTCATCGTCGGCCTCAGAGCGTTCGATCTCATACACTTCTGGCTCCGGGGACACCAGCTGCTCAGTGGGGCCTTTTCCATGCACGCACTTATAGTCGAAGTCGCCGAGAGCGCGGGAGACGGCGAGGGAGCCGTTGACCCTCTGGATCATAACAGAACCACCTGCGTTCTGGATTCTCTCCTTTTCCAGTGGGTTACTTGGCTTGTGGTCCTGGGTGAAGAAGTGAACGCGACCCTTGCGGCTCAGTAAGGCTCTGGAGTCACCGCAGTTGATGAAATAGAAATGATGAGGGGAAATCATCACGCCCACCGCCGTGGAGCCACTGCGGTCCGCCCCGTGCTTGCGTTCGGACATGGCCCGCATGTGTTCGTCGATTTGCAGGAAGCCTGTGCGGATTCCACATTTCACACTCTCCACAGAGGGCCCGGAACCAACTAACTCCGCACCTCCTGAGCACCCTCCCCTGAAGTCTGGGTTGCTGGTAATATGTTCCAGCAGATGCTCACAGCAGTAACGGGCAACCTGAGAGCCTGCGTGCCCATCGTAAACGGCAAAAAAGGACCAAAGGCCGAGGCCGTAAGGCAGCCCCATCACAGCCGTGTGTGCATCCTCCATCTCCACACGCCATCCCTGCATACTGCTGAGTCCATAGCGGAGGCTGTTCCCCTCCCCGTGAGCATTGTGCTTCTCCATCTTTGGCTTGTCTAAGAACGCACCCATTCTTCTTATTTTGCTCTACCACAAACAGAACCAGAAAACAAAGTGAGTAAAAGGTGCTTCATTATGACATAAGTGACTCTCGTTTATACAACATATTCAAACATGCGATGGATATGGCATGACCATTTATGCGATAAGCCACAGGTGCAGCAAGCTTCCAGTAGCAAGTAAACCGTTTAGGTAAATGTTTATCAAATCACATCAAGGCAGTAAACTTATTTGTCTCCAAACCTGCGGTTGTTTACATTTTAGCTTCCTTTTAAAATCTTTTCAGACGCCAACGCAGCAAAATATACGAACCTGTATAATATAAAACAACTGTGATGTGTTTACTGATGAAGCCCCTAACGTTACCCTTATCAGCATATATGCAAAATACTCCACGCCAAGATAGCATTAAGAGGCTAACTCCAGCATTTGTATGTACGTCAGAGTGACATAATATCACTTACCCAGTTTCTTCGTGGTCTTTGCTGGATGAAGAAACTCCGAGGCACAAAAGCCGCGGATAAGAGCCTTATTATCAGCAGTATGTTGTTGGGCCGGATAGCAAACACTATAAACCAGCTCACAGCCACAACACACATCAATCGATGGCTAACCAATTAGCCAGTACACTAACGTCAAAACGGCCAAAGATCGATGCCGAAAATAATAATTTAAACAAATTATAACCATAAGAAAATCGTCACATGAGCCTGTTAAGGCAGTCCGCAGCTGGGCTGTAGGGCATTTCTGGCTCCGGTGTTTTTGTTTTCCCGAGGGGGGGCTACAGGAGCCTCTCGCTCAGAACATCTCTCTCTCTCTCTCCGCGCGGATGGGTTGGTCTGGAACCCGGATGCTGCAGCGGACAGTGCGTGTTCCCCTTTCGCTATTACATCATCACTGCCACGCAATCGAGGGCTGGAAATAGATTCATTGACGAGATTGAGGGAACGTTATAAGCGAAACTCTTGCCGTTCATTTAACTGTGCTTTGTAGTTTTTCTGCAGAGGCTTATATAGTCTTTATATGTTTACAAAATAACACATTGTCACTATAGGGCCGTAAGTTAACCAATAGAAATTATGACATTTATAAATAAATTTCAACATTTTAACTTTAAAAACTCAAATTAGTTCATTAACTGATCAGCCAGTCAAACTAACATGTATGCTTACACAATTAAGAAAAACAGACTACTGTCAAAGTTTGACACAATCAATGTGATAAATGATCAATGGTTATCCCCCTTTTTAACATATTAACATTTTATCTTGAATGTAAAAGGCTGTTACTATAGCTTACTCTTAAAAAATGTGTGTTGGTTTCACTTTAAAAAGTAACCTGGTTGCCTTAAAATTTGAAGTTAATACAATGAAGGAGAATTGGTTTAATCAACAGAAGCTCAAAATATTACATTATTTGAACCACATAAATTATCCAAGTTGATTTGACAAAAGAAAAAATTTGATAAACCATGAAAATATTTTTTTTTACAGTGTACAAAACAGCTCTCATTATGCTGCTTGATATCGCAAACTGGTATCTGTTATATTATTTTACGGTTTACTGCACTTTGTTATTCTTATTTAAATTATAGCGGCTAATAAATCAGAAGTCTTACATATCCACAGGAAATAGCCTTCTATTAGCCTTCTAATAGCCCCTGGATTGTGCATGTTTTAGCTGCAACACAAATAGCACAAGTATGTGACTGGCCTCTTTTTTAGCTGTTAAACATTGTGCTTTTATTGTATTCTTGGTGCTGTGTACAGTGTGTAGGCTATGTAGGCTACAATGTTTTGAACATAAATGATATTGCACTTCGGCTATTCAGGACAGGTTATTTAAGTTGCATTGAGTGAGCACTTGTCCTAATCAATGACATTTTTACACAGGCATCAGTTAATAGAGCTACAATAGAATATCCACATTTAGTTATCTGCAATCAAGCTGTTAATGACATGCCCAAGAGAAATAGAAAAGGGAATGTTTTGGGGAATGTTAACATGTTATTATGAACAGAATGTATAGGCAAATTGCCTGAACGTGTCGTCATGCTTTTGTATCATGGTATATCCAAGACTGGAGCCACTGTAATGCTAATGATTGAGGGTAAATAATTCATACAGGCCTCAAAATCCAAATTAAAAGCTTCTTACATTGCTGTCTGCAGTGTGTTCCTCATAATGCGATGTGCACTTAGTAGCTTCCTGCTCTAAACATCCAAATGCATTAGACCTGAATGAGGGAACCTTCAGCTTGGCATAGTGATGCTGAATTGTGCTGTTTTTAATACATATCAAAACAAATATGTCCCTAAAGCTATTGCCAGGCTTTTCCACTGCACTGTGTAAACTGTTATGCTGACATTTTCAGACTGTAGATAGTATAATGAAGTGGTTGTTTTGCCTCAAGAACCATATTTTACATTAAATATCAAGTGGTCGACCCAACACAGTACCAAAATTGTTTACCATACAAAAATGACACAAACTGCACATGAAATCAAACAGCCCCTGTATGCAAAATTATTATATAGGCTGAAGAAGAAAAATGACAAATTGGTTTCTTAACAGCACTGCATTTTTTTTATGTTTCATGCTCTTCAATAATTCACTGCACACAAAAATATTTTTGTTGCTATCTTAATTAGCTGCATTTTATCAGAACAGATCTGCTGCAACACATTTTTGGGTCACGACCTGCTAGGTAAAATCCACTGGAATAAACTATAAAAATGCCACTCTTCTTGATTCTCTGACCATTTGAAACATGCCAGACATGAAACAAGTATGAAGGTTATGAACAGAATGGCAGTGTGTTGTTGATTTGAATAGAGTCATGAATGACAGAGGAAAGGATGGATGAACACCAACTACTGAATTGTCAGACTGTCTGCCAAATCGCCAACCCCAGGTGAGGTATCCAGAGCAAATTAAGTGCCACAACAATGTTGCCCTATTTCCAAATGCCAGAGAGTGTTTGGACTGTGTTGTCTTAAACAATAACAACAACAGCTGCCATGTAAGTGGCGATGTGTGAGGCAAACCAAGTGAGTCACAGTTTACTGTCATCACTCTTTAAAAAACACCATTCTGTCTCAGGAGATCATACAAACAGGGAAGCACCTGAAGAAACTGGTTGAAGCAAACAGGAGAAACCCAGTGATTTGCAGTCTTAAGCAGCTGAAATATATTTGAACAATAAAGAAATGCAATCATTCCAGTTTCACATGGACCATATGTCTTCATCCCATTCAGCAGCCATGTAAAGTAAAAAAAGTTTTTTTCTCTGGGTTCATCATATAGTATTCCATTCGTTTTTACTGTATGTTGTAGAGAGGCCAGTGCCTTGTTTTTTAAACATGCTATACAAATGAACTCAATGAAACAAAGCAAGGTAATTTATCCATGTCAGTTTTAAAAAATTGTAATGGATTGGTAAATGAAGTACAAGTTGAAATGTATGGGTGTCAGTTATTTTCAGTTAGGAGTATGTTTTTAGTCATCGTCACTGTTTCATTTGAGTTTGTCCAGTGTCGTCAACGGGACGTGAATTAAATATTTATGTGTTTGCCTTGTGGAATATATTAAAGACTTTAGTTTGATCTTCATCTTCGTATTTGTGTGCTTGTATCTACCATGATTGTGACAGAAGACCAGACCTAAAAGGATTAAGATTTTAGTTTTGTTTTTTCCATTTTTTCCACACGATGGACCTGCCCACCGTACAACTCCTGTGCCTAGAGCAGCTGGATAGTTCGCTGGAGGAATATACCAGGGACTTTTTAGATCTGCCGTGCCTTTTGCACTACTTGGACAACTCGCTCTGTGTTTTTTTACCATGCTGGCCTCAGCGAGCAAAGTAAGGCACGCCTACCAGCGAACGGTCCTAGTGAGGATTTCGCCGCCCATGTGGGGTGGGTGCTAGTTAACAATGGATTGAAGTTCACGATAGGCCCTGAGGAGGACATCACCAGCCCCACTCCCGACCCAGAGTCCAGCCCTACACCTCTCCCTCTCCTCAGCCCGGACATGACATGCCTGAGCCCACCGCAGACGGAGAGCCAATGCCTGCCGCAATGGAAGAGCTGATGCAAAAAGGAGCATACGAGCGAACCATCGTTCCGGAGCCTGGATCTCATGAGACGTCTGACCATGTGTGTGAGCCGGCAACATCATGCGCAACCAAGGGAGTCATTGTGGAGTACGAGGGGATGGATAGGAGCCCTGCCCATCCTCCCGCCAGTTTTTAAAATGCTTTAAAAACCTCTTTTCTTGGTTATGTGAACATTTCATTTGATAATTTTGCAAACATTTAGGGATACTTTTAAATGTTCTTTGAACAAACACATTTTAAAAAATGTTAGATGCATGTGTAACGGAGGCCAGCTAGTTGCTGTGCGAGTAAACCTCACTCCTCTGATCTCAAAAGGCTCTCTAGCGACAGATGCTAGAGGCTGCAGTCTTTAGCCTCCTTGTTAGAGCGCCTGACTCTCATGCCGGAGAGCTGGGTTCGAGGCCCGCTCGGACCGGGTCGAGTGGGACCCGGGTGGAGAGGTTACATTGGTGCCGTGACCCGGATGGGAGTGAGGTTTAGGGGGGTGAGTGTAACGGAGGCCAGCTAGTAGTTGCTGTGCGAGTAAACCTCACTCCTCTGATCTCAAAAGGCGCTAGAGGCTGCAGTCTTTAGCCTCCTTGTTAGAGCGCCTGAATCTCACACCGGAGACCCGGGTTCGAGGCCCGCTCGGAGCGGGTCGAGTGGGACCCGGGTGGAGGGGTTACGCATGTCGTGTACATGCTACTGTTTTGAGTAGCCTATGTTAATAAAGACCAGATAACTTTGAACAAACATTCTAGTAACGTTACTAGAAGAATGTTAGCTGTTAGAACTGTTAGCTGGGCAGCAACAAGACGAACACTGCCGTACAGTAATATTAATACTGTGAGGTAATTTTCTGTACAATCAATAACACGATACACAATTTTACAAACTTGATCTCTGTCTTGTGCTTCCAAGCTCTGCTTTTCATTTAGATCATGAAAACTGCACCTGTGATGGGCTGTTGCCATGTTCTTTGCCAACCAGTAATTGAAATGTTATTGTCAATCTCCCCCTTTCATCTTTTCTGCACTCCACCTTTCCTCAAGAACAAAGTAGTCACATTGGTTTGCACATTGAAAACCTCTCATTAAAGATACTGTTATTTTTGTTTCACAAAAAACCCCCAACACTTTATGTGTCTCATGGCTATGTTTCTGCATTGTAGATATACATTTTTAATGTTTTCGTATTATGTATTATATTATTTATTGTTATTGTATTGTCTGTCCTTCCGCTCCTCTCCCAAATTCACAATATTTTTTTAGGTATTTAGGAATTTAGGATCAACACAGATGAATTATTTTATTAAAAAAAAATCCAGATGATCAGTGGTTAAAAAAACCAAAAACAATTATTTTAAAGTGTTTTGCTAATATTGCAAAACTAACATTAAGATTAGAGATTAATGTTCCATATTCAATCTTCACATGACCCCTCTTTCTCTACAATGCATGTGGTTTAAACAACAAAAGGAGACATCTAAGCTCTCTTTGTTGTCGCACCCTGGCGAGACCGACCCAATGGACATCACCCAAATGAACAACTACAATATTAAATCTAGTAGACTTAATGACATAAGTTCATTTTTGGTCTTATTTCTGTGTAAGAGTCCTTTCCAGTGTCCTTAATTCCAACAACAGATTACAATCTAACGACACAGCGGATTATCAATACCGACTGAGCTCCTCTGTAATAGGGTCCAAGTGAAATGGTACACACAAATCCATGGCCTAAT